ATGGGGACTAAAGTTGTACATGTAGGTAAGTTTAAAACCTGTTAATCTTTGTTGAATATTGATAAAGGTTAATTTTTTTTTGCAGGTGCATGGGCAACGATGTATGATTAGTCATCTAAGCGCACTTAAGCAACCAAGGAGATTTGGATTTTTTTAAGAACCAAGGTAAAAAATGTGAAGAAAAACGTGTTTCTAAACAATAACAACTCATACAAATGCCAATTTGGATGGATGTCCACATGGCAACCCTAGATTGGCTCTAATCTTTAACTTGGAATGTGCTTCTTCATGTGGATGATGGACCGTTGAATATGATCTACAGCTGAGGATAAGTCAATCTACTATGACACTTGGGGGTTGGGAACAATTTGAATGATTCATTCATTCTTGGTTTTTTGTTTCAGTTCATTTTTCTCTCTCTAGTTCTTAGTCTTCTTCTTGGTTTCTATCTATGATGTCTTAGGAGGTTCTAGACAAACATAGTTGTGGAATCTTGTGTGATTCATGTTGTTACAGTAAATCAGGCATGTAATAGTGGCTAGTTTTGAGTCTATAGAAGTGCAAGAAGTTCTTGGTTATTTTATGGCTAAGGTTTACGATTTAAGAGATCTGCTTGTAGATGGATGATTAAGTCTGGGTCTATCTCCCATGATTTGTACTATTTCTTTGGAAAGTTTCTGTTGTGCTTAGTGTTTGGCTAATCTCTAAGGCATTTGCTGAACTAGGTGAACATTTCTTGGTGTTCCTTTATTTTTTTTCTTTGTGGTTGTGGTTTTATTGTTCATCGTTTTTATATTTTTAGGTTAAAAACCCAACATGGAACTTCAACAAACGAAATAAAGTAAGACGAAAATAGAGAAAAGCAATCTCAAATTGTAATGCACGGATGGGAAGGTGATGGGAACTATTAATGTTATCAATGAGTTTCATTGAGGATTTGGTTAAGAGAGATTTCATTAATAATGGGATTAAACAAGTGATGTCTAAAATATTTACATAAAAGATTGAAAAATGTTTAACTAGAGGTTCAATGTGATTTGTTGAGGCTGATGCAACTAGATGAATGTCCAATGTTGTTTTTAGATGTCTAAATGACTAATGAGATTGAATTAGACGTAAAATTGAAAGAATTGAAACTTGAGAAGTTTGATGAGAGTAAGTATTATATTAAAACATTAAACACATAGCAAGGTTGTGAGTAGGTATGTTTATATAATAAATATATATTATTGGAGAAATGATTAATGAGCACTATAAATTTATCTACCAATAAATTGATATCTCATATCAGTGCTCGAGATACAAATGCCAACAGATCCTAGCTCTCCTATCCACGTGCATATTACATGTACACTTGGACCCCACATTAGATAGCATAAATCGTAGCTCTGACGTAGTGCAATGGTCGTATGCACTGGTCAAGATAGATTGTGAAGAATATTGTGTATGGGAGGAACACGATGAACAAAAATATGGATGCCTAGTTACACTTACTGTGTGTTCATAAGTTTTAGTGAGAGACGACGTAGTATTTATATGTGGAGGGAGCAAAATAGACCCCCTTTTGGATGTTTGACATGTGCACTCATTATAATGGTTCATTTTCAATTGTATCAATTCATAGATATCATAGGCTTGTGGTTGGCAGACTCGGAGTGCACGCTGGAAAGTTGTGATCTAACTAGGCGTTGTTGCTATAGAGATATCACATCAATCACTTTATGTAGTTTATTGTTTATGCAACTTGGTCAAGACAAGGATTGCAGTAGATGATCATTGCCTCAAATAATAATAATAATACTCTAGGCGAAGCATCTAAAGGTTTGGCCTAATTGCCTCTGAAGAGGTAGTGAAAGAAGCAGTGGGAAGTACTGGAGTTCTGACCTTGTGTGACATTTTGTTTAGCTGGCTGTCATGAGGTTTGCCTCGTAAGGAGATGAATAACAATAGTCCACCACTTGATCGAAGTGTCAACAAGATCGTCTTTCGATTTTTGCCAAAATAACTCTCCAGATGCTACAATCAATCTCATCTCTGCCTCGGAGATTAGCTCTGGAGAGTGTAAGCTCTGTTCGACTAATTCAAAGCTTGCAGTTGACTGTTGGTCGGAAGCATACCATTCTTGGCAGTAGAGATTTTTGTTCTATATTAAATAAAATATAAAGGGAGAAAAAAAAGGATTGAGTTAAAAAGGTATCTAAGGGGGAAAGTTAGTAAAAGCTTCGTCGGAGCAATGTTTTCGTCGGAATTCTCTTTAAAACTAAAAGTACTAAGGATGTAAAGTTTATGAAATGAAACTTTGGACCTTTTATAGGCGAGGCAACCTTAACCAAGTCATTGGATCAAATGGTTGGTAAATCAGAGCCATCCATCCATTTTGCAATAGGAGCCATAAAAAGGAAGAGACGGTCAACCAAAATTTAAATCAAAACCTAAGAACGTATGCGTAAGAGTGTTTCACCTCGAAATAGAAAATGCCCCGCACGTCCCTGCTCCATTATTGCTTGTAGTCGTCCAACACTCCAGAAACACACAACTCTTCAAGGATGGGCACTCGTCCTAGCTCTCTATGTCACCTCGTAAAATCTGTCACATGTCATTATAATGACCTTAGCTCTACATCTCAGATTCTTCACTTCAAATCTACCATCTCAGCACGCTAACATCATTTATTACAATTTTTAATAAAAGTTCGTGCCTCATAAATATTCATGCTTAAATTTAAGGAACTAGTCTCACTCACCTATCATCACCTCAAAAGTAAAGGTATAATATTTGCAACAAGTGGGTCATCGATTCATCATTTACGATTATCAAGTTATGATGTTTCTCATTTGTCTTGTCATACCTCTCATCGAATCTGGATTTTAGAACTCATAAATAAGAAGACTTATTCATCGTTGACGAGATACCTCTTCTTACGAGATGATTGATATTTACTTCGTATCTCTATATTTTCACTCAAAAGTTCAGGTCTAGGGGTGTCAACGAGTCGAATCGAGCTGAGCCACGAGCCGAAACTTGAAGTTCGGGCTCGGCTTGAGCAAAAATGGTTTGAGCTTTTTTGGGAGTAAGTCGATCCAACCTTTTTTTTTAATGACAACTCTAAATTTTTTAAAGAATTTAAAATTTGTGCAATTTATAAAGGCATGAATTTAAAATCTATTGTTTTAATATTTTTAATAAAGCTTGGCTCGACGTGCCGAAATGGCCTGTGACATGGGCCCACTGGCTGGCTCGAGCAAATGCCCCCAAAATGGGGCTCTGCTCGGGCTTTTCCCTGGCCGAGCCACGGCTGTCCGAGTTGGTGAACCATTTTGACATTCATATTCATGCCTTATATAAATATTTATATATGGACTTGGAGATTATTGTTACGCTTCTGCCTACTAGGTAGGTTAATGACAATCAACTAAGCAAAAGGCCACGAAAGGTGAGCACTCTACTTTGCATCACCTCTTTGAAGTACATCTTCTGAGTTGATTAGGTCGAGCATTTAGATGTCTGGCCTAGAGTATTATTATTTGAGGCATTGCATCACATCTCCGCTACAATGTATATCCGAGGTGATGGGCATCTACTACAAACCTCGTCTTGGTCAAGTTGCACAAATAGTATATTGCACAAAGTTATTGAAGTGATAGCTTTATAGAAGTAGCGCCTAGTGAGACTACAAAATTTAAGTCTATAGCCTGGTTTTGCCTACTACAAGCTTATGATGTCTATGAATTTACAGAATTGAATATGAAAAGTGAGTCATTAGGATAAGATCACGTATCAAGCATCAAGAGGAAGTCTGTTGTGTTCCCTCCACATATAAATGCTCGGTCATATCTCATCAAAGGTATGAACACATAGTAAGTATAATCTCAAACCCGGTACCTATATTTTCGTCCATTATGTCTAGTCCAAATCTAATATTCTTCACAATCTGACTTGAGCATCTGAATACATACAACCGTTGGAACAAGAACCATTATGAAATTAGAAAGAAAAAAAATGTAAAATATGACAAGAACAACTAAAATCTTGTTATATTGGCATGTTTGTGTGTTATATACATTATTAAACACTGACAATTTAAAGAAAAAAAAGTTAAAATTTTGTCAATTATATTGTAGAATATAATCTAATATCACGTAATAAATATGTTGTTATTTTCAAACTCGTTTGCCCATTATTTTTCTCTTGATTAGGTAAATGTACACTCATTCGTCTTTGCTTAGAGTACTCTACAAATCGCTTAGATGTGCAAAAGTGAGTTAAGACCATGTGAATACGGAAGCTAAAAATGACTGATAAAATAAGTGCAACTGCGGGAGTGCCCTACAAGGTGTGCAGTTGGTACAACTACAAACTAATTATACTGATTTCAATCTCCTAAACTCCAGTTTTTACATTATTTTGGAATTTAATTGGCTTCATGAAAATCATTAACATGTATGGTTATGAAGTCTACTTTAATTAAGAGAAAACAATGTAGTAATTGCTGATATCAGTGTCTTATTCAACAAGATTAATGGTTGAATTTGCAAAAGAAAATCTCATTTCAATGGAAAGTCATTCTTGGGTGTTTAGTCGATAAAGGATCGTCCAAGAGAATTTTCAAAACAATTTTTTTTGTCGCTAAAGTGAAGTTTCTGGTAGTATCGAAGACTTGGTTCTATCGACTAACCATTTTATCATTCTAACTAGAAAGAATGTTTACCATTAGATACAATCGTGAAAATTGATTGAAATTAATAATTTGGAAACGAGACAAATGGAATTTTGAGAAAGGAGATAAGGTTTGACAACAGTAGGGTGAATGTCACGATCAGATTAATTTTTATTGATTAACAGTAGGTGTAGTATCACTATTTGCTGATGATTTCTTTGGATATAATTTTCTTTTCAATGCTGCCATATCTCAACGACTACGGGTCTATATAATCATTGTATGTTCGTAGATCTTTATACAAAGAAAATATTTCCTCGCCAAAAAAAAAAAAAACTTCGAAATGGGCTCTTCTCTTCTTCCATATTCAGCAATTTTGGCTTCTTTCCTCTTCATCAGTATCTCCATTTGTCTCAACTTGACAAAAGCGCAGCAAACTGGCACGACTAGACACTATAAGTTTGATGTAAGTATTGCATGCATTTCTGATTAGTAATAGAGTGTGCTCATTTATAGTTTACGAGATAGATTGTGTTGTAATGTCTGTGCAGATACGGCTGCATAATGTGACCAGATTATGTCACAGTAAACGCATGCTTACTGTCAATGGCAAGTTCCCAGGGCCTCTCATTACTGCGAGGGAGGGCGATCGTGTTGTAGTCAAGGTGGTTAACCATGTCTCCAACAATGTCAGCTTTCATTGGTACGTTAATGCAAAATATTCAACTCATTTGTTATTGTAGTGGCCAATGCGGTCTAATACCACGTATCAACGTTATTAGGCATGGTATTCGGCAACTCTTGAGCGGTTGGGCAGATGGACCGGCGTATATAACCCAGTGCCCCATCCAAAGTGGCCAGAGCTATGTTTACAACTTCACCATTGTCGGGCAGAGAGGAACTCTATTTTGGCATGCTCACATTACATGGTTACGAGCCACTCTCTATGGACCACTCATCATTCTCCCCAAGGAAAATACGTCGTACCCTTTTGTTAAACCCTTCAAGGAAGTTCCAATCATCTTTGGTTAAGTATCAAACCATCAGAAGAGTATAAATCGATATAATTAGACCAAAACTGTATACTAACATTGAATATATATACATAAACTGCGACAGGAGAATGGTGGAATGCAGATACGGAGGCTGTTATCAATCAGGCACTTCAAACAGGAGGTGGACCAAACGTTTCTGATGCATATACCATTAATGGATTCCCTGGTCCGTTGTATAATTGTTCTGCCAATCGTACGTGCCTTTTTCTCCTCTTTGTGCATTTGATCAACTGGCTAAAATCTTACCATGTGATGAAGTTTTCTTGATTTGATACATTGCAGAAACATTCAAGTTGAAGGTGAAACCTGGAAAGACATATCTGCTCCGTATAATCAATGCTGCACTCAACGACGAGCTGTTTTTCAGTATCGCCAACCACACATTCACCGTTGTTGAGGCTGATGCGGTTTACGTAAAGCCATTTGAAACCGATATTCTCCTAATAACGCCAGGACAAACCACCAATGTTCTTCTAAAGACCAAGTCTAATCCCTTAAACACCACCTTCTTGATGGCAGCCAGGCCATACTTCACCGGTCAAGGCACATTCGATAATTCCACTGTTGCTGGAATCCTTGAATACGGAAAATTCTCAGCTAAAAACCACTCAAATTTTTCTATCAGAGGCCTCCAACTCCCTATCCTTCCACCAATTAACGGAACTTCCTTCGTTGCAAATTTCAGTAATAAGTTTCGCAGTTTGGCAACTGCCCAATTTCCAGCGAACGTGCCCCAATCCATTGACAAGCATTTCTTCTTTACCTTAGGCCTTGGAAGCAGTGCATGTCCCAAAAACCAAACTTGCCAAGGGCCCAATGGCACAAAATTTGAAGCTTCTGTTAACAATATCTCTTTCACACTGCCTACAGTATCACTTCTTCAAGCCCACTTCTTTGGGCAATCAAATGGTGTGTATACCACTGATTTCCCGAGCTTTCCTATTACCCCATTCAATTACACAGGTACCCCACCTAACAATACAAAGGTGGCCAATGGAACCAAAGTGGTTGTCCTTCCTTTCAATACCACTGTGGAACTCGTGTTGCAGGACACCAGCATTCTTGGTGCTGAAAGCCACCCTCTCCATCTTCATGGCTACAACTTTTTCGTCATTGGCCAAGGTTTTGGGAACTTTAATCCTCAAAAGGACCCACTGAATTACAACCTTGTCGATCCGGTTGAAAGAAATACTATCGGCGTGCCTTCTGGCGGTTGGGTAGCCATCCGTTTCCGTACTGATAATCCAGGTTGGTTTCACTTATGATCAAAAAACACAAATGAACTTGTTATAATTAACTTTCTCAGGAAGTTTTTAAGCTTACTTGTGTGGCAAAAACCAACAACAAAACTGTATGGCGTATGTGGTACGCAATAAGAAACATGAACTAACAATGTATGAATTCATTCGTATCTGTATCAGTATCTTTGACTGAAAACATTAAAAAGAAGAACTCATAATGTGATCATGGTAATGCCTTGAAGGTGTCTGGTTCATGCACTGTCATTTCGAAGTCCATCTCAGCTGGGGTTTGAAGATGGCATGGATAGTTTTGGATGGGAAGCTGCCTAACCAAAAACTGCCGCCTCCACCGTCAGATCTTCCCAAGTGTTGATGCTAATTCTTTGCTTTATGAGATCATTGTTTGAATAATTTATATAGCGAGTCTTTTGTTATTGAGTTTTGCATTTCCTGCTGTCTTTCTTCATCACGAAAAGTGAAATAAAGTTGAAGGGGATTTTGTAATTGCTTTTTGCTTCATTGATATATCTCGTCCTAATCAAATAAATGAACTTTTAATTTTTCTCATATACACTTCTATCTTTTTACTTGAATTATTCCATCGCGAACAAATTCTCTCAAGAAGTGATAGCCATCGAATTTATTTTTTCAACTTGTAAACTTCGTGTTTTTCTTCTTTCTCTACAAATTCAAGCAGTTGTTTTGACATGCATCTTCTTGGATGAATCCATTGAAAAATGCAAAATTAACGTCCATTTAAAATAGATGTAAGATCCTAAACCTTTGTGTGTAGATTAATTGTAAATTTTGAGAACTTGAAACCAGATTGAAATTCTTTCAATTCTTGAGGGACCAAAAGTGAAAATTGGTCAACCCCACTCTCAAAAGTGAAAATTGCGCACTCTTACTCAACAAGTACTTAGCTGTAGCCTCACATCAGCAGCATTAACTTCTCAACCATTAAACATAGAATAATGTTATTCATCCTTACTGAATTATAGACACAATTTAAGTGGCATTAATGTGACATCAAGGCTGTGTCTGGGAGAAATTATCCCAGCTCCAAAATCAATTTTTGGGTCACATCGGCAATCTCACTTTATTCTTTCATTGACTCATTGTAGGCAATTTGAAGAGAAAAATATCATTTCATCTTCATCACATGTGCACTTTATGAAGATTCTCCATTGCAAAGGGGTAAAATCAAAAAAGTTGTGTAAATGGGTTGTATGAGTACTGCAAAGGTGTCAAATTTTGCCTCCAAAAAAATGCCCCAACGGTCCACTTTCTAATTACCAATTGTCCGAATTACAATTTGTAGTCCGCCCAGACACACCCTAAATGATAATTAAAATTAAAGAAAATTCTGCTTGTACTGAATAATTTACCTAATCTTTTACCGAATCAACAAGCGACGGGGGCCGCCATTTGTCGATTCCGTAATCCATTAGGTAAATTATTATGTACGTGTAGCTTGATCATAAAATTAAATAAGTCATTTAAATTTACTTTTCATTTAATCTATCATTTAGAACCACCTAAACTGTGTTTGAAAGATAATAACATTACTCTTGAACACAAGACACTACGAATTTCAGTTGTCATCTTGTTTATAAAGTGATTATTAATGCTCATGTTAATTCCCAGTTGCAACCGGNNACAATAAGGGGGAGAATTATTACGAATGCATGCACTTCTGAAATTTTGATGAAAGGGTTGTCATGATACTGGTGATTTGAAGGTAGGTTTTCAGGTTTTGGACCAAATGCCTAATATGGGTTGTTGTTGTAAGAGTGGTGAAGTTGAAAATGCGAAGGAATTGTTCTGTAACATGGAAAAGCTGGGTTTGGTAGCTAATCAGTACGCTCACATTAATTTGATAAATGGGTTCTTTAAGAAAGGACTTTAAAAGGGATGGACCCGAGCTCTGTGAGAAGATGAAGCTAGATGGTGCGACTTGTATACTTACAACCGTGTGATGTACGAGTAGTGTAAGGTTGGTAAAATGAGCAAAGCCTCTGGACTGTTCGACGAAATGCGTGAAAGAGGAGTGGGATGTAATGTTGTGACATACAACACTTCGATTGGGCTATTATGTCGAGAAAAGAGTGTGGGGGAAGCTGAGAGAAGCGGTTTAATTAAACTAAAGAAAACAACTTTCATTACAAAACCAATAACATATAATTTAACCAAAAGCAGTTAGTTATATGTACACAAAATATTAACTAACTGCTTGCAAAAGGAAAGATTGGTCCAAAATATCCATATCCACAAGGGAGAGAGCACAAAAACTACAAAGCAACTAGCTAAACACAATCTTTATGCCTTGGAGGCATTGCAAAGATGTGGTCAAGATCAGGTGGGTAAAAGTATCCATTCTTGGGTGTCTCCCTCTTCCCTACACAGGCGAACCGCTTCTTTCTAGGCGGCGGTGGCGGCAGAACCCTCACTGGAATCCGACATCCATTGTGTTTTGGGGTTGAGCAGCCTTCCTCCACCGGCACCGCCTCAGTCACCCCAGAATACACTTGTATTTCCATCAGAAGACTCTATTCACTTGCTACTTTACTACACTGACAAGTGAATGCGTATGTGAATGCGAATATTCAGTGCAGAAAAGTGTCTGTATTGAAAGTGGAAACTGAGTTCTGGGAAGTTTGGGATATGGAATATATATATACAAGATTTTGAGTGGGAATGGGGTGGCTAATTGCTTGCTGGAGAAGTGACTGCTGAGTGCTAAAGAAGTAGAAGAATTTGGTGTGTTCGGGAAGGTGCTATTAGAATTTTGAAACGTGTGGTGGAATAGAGACCGGTGGGTGAACAGATGTCGTCATTTGCCATGTATTGAATGTGAGTTTGACATGTGGCAACTAGTAGGCCGTACGTTTCTAATAAGCCATTTAAAAAGGGCGCCAAAAAATGGGTTATGAATTGGCGGCCACTGAAATGAGTTTGACATGTGGCAACTAGTAGGCGACTAACTAGACGTAAAGATGCAGCTTTGCGTTTTCATCTTATGGACTGTCAAGTAAATTTCCATTGACCTTATTTTTGCACAGATAAGATGAACAATACATCTTTGACTCCACAGTCTCCACTCAAAGGTATTTGGTGAGAATTGAAATTAGATTTTTAATAGATTGTGATAGAAACTTTTGAAATGTATAGTTGAAAGGTTGTGAGATCCATGAAAGATATAATTAATATTGATTGTTTGACTTTGACTTGAATTAAAATCATATTTTAATTCGAACCAAACAGTGGCTCAAATTCATGCATATAACCTTGCACATTTGTACAAACTTTTGGAAGCACGAGACTTGCTCTTGGAAGGCGATTACAAACACTCCAATAGTCAAATCAATCAATTTTATAGATACGTATTTGGTTGTGAAATGAACAAAAGACGCGATCGATGTCAATTTACGAGTATCGAGGGTAATTAAAAAGAATAACAACGGAAAAATATTAATAAGCCCTTATTTGGGATCCATTAAAATCAAATTTTGATAAATAAAAAAAAAGTATTTTGGAATATTGATTTGGGAAATTTGGCCAAATAGCCAGGTAGGACAATGTATTTGAAGATATGACCTTTGACCAACAATAAAAGAAAAGGAAAAAATTCAAGATATTTTAAATGGCCAAATGACAATATTATCCTTCAATTAATAATAAAATATTCACCTACTTTCCCTCATCTTCACCTCATTCTTTCTTCTTCAATCTCACTGTCCAATCATTTTTTTTCTAAATTTCAAAGTAACGTTTACTTCAACTCAGTTTCTTGCTCATTTCAAATTTGAAATTATTTCCTCTCCAATTTTGGGCGATTTTTGCTTATTTTCAGCAAACACATATGGAGCTTCATTCTTCCACTTTTCGGTCACCCAAACCACCGGACTCCACCATCCCCAGCCTCATCTCACTCCCATCTAGAAATCGCTCCAATTTCAAATTCAAATTTGCAGATAACAAGAGTTTGGTAATCAAAAATATTGGAGAAATCAACAGAACGGCACAAATGTCGTTACTTGTCACGTGTGTCGTTATGTCGATAAACATGAGTATGAGTGGCCATGAACCGTCCGAGTTTCGGTATTCAATAAATTGAACCCATTTAAGTTGCAAGAGGGATGTGCCGTTTACAAAATTTGATAGTTACGTTCACTAATTATGTGTTTTCTAACGAATGTAGATAGCGACTTGTGATGTCACCTACTCATTATCATATAATCTATTGGAGAAATGAACAAAAAGTATTGGCGAAAATATGGGGGTGGGCCCCCTTCTCGAGGGTTTCTTGGGCGGAGCCCCCGAATTTTTTTTTAAATAAGAGGATTGAAAACGATTTAAAAAAAAAAAAAACTCTTTTAGTCGACAATTCGCTTATGGAAATATCCAAACATATTCAAAAGTCGCTTCCACTTTTTCAAAACATAGCAAACCAAATCACCCTTAGATTGTCTTCAAGATACTCATAAGTACGAGATGTTCCCTATTTAGAGAGTCAATATTTAAAAATGAACTTTCATAGGCTCTATTTTAACTTTTTAAGATAGAGATTGAATGCAAAACTCACTTTCTATTTTTACTTTATAATAATTGCACATGATAATATAAAATTTTCAATACTATACTCTTAAATTAATTGATAACAAATTTAAATTTATTGAACATTGACATGAAATTTTTTATACAAGATGAAAAGAAATCGATAAATATTTCTTCAAAAATGAGAAATGAAGAGTCAGTATACAGAACATTGTTAAGAGTATATAAAAAAATTGCTCTTTAAATTTAAAGACACTCTCTTATAAATCAGATAATCAAGAGTGATTACTTTAATAGATGAATAAATGAGTACCGATCTAGATTAAAATAGTCCAATTTTAGAGTGGAATATCTAGATCTAAACAGGGTTTTAGACATCTTTTTTTTTTCTCATAGCATTTGCTTGATGTTGTTTTATAACAATCATGTCAGAACAAGCCCACGATTGAATATCATTCTCTAAAAATTCATTTTAAACCGCACATTCTTCAAATAAAATAATTTTACACATAAATCCAAATTTTTCTTCGACTTTTGAACTGCACATTCTCCAAAAAATCAATATTACAAAACTTTTTTAAAAAAAAAAGTTCAAACAGAGCCTGATTTGCTTGAATTTCTGAAATTTGGACTTGGCTTGAGTCTTGACTCGGACCTGAACTTGCTTTTCTTTGATTTGAAAAAGATTTTGCACCCTGTTTGGTATCCATTATATGTTAGAACTTTATTAAAACTTGAACTTTATGATCTTGCCAAGATCTTCATGTCAAATCATCAAGAGAACTGAATTAACGCGGAACATACCTTAATCAATTG